AGATCCATTGATGCTCCTTCCTATGACTTGGAATACTTTGCCCATGAGTTTTCAGCAACTGGGAAGCATCTCTGAGTAACTGACTCATCCCATTTTATCCAGTTTTTGAGATCTTTGCCAAGTATCTGTTTATCGAAGTGCTAATGCTGTCAGACAAACATATGGACGAGTAGGTAGAACAACATACAATTTTTTTTCTCTAAGAATAGATGTTAGTTGTGTTTGTCTTATTTAATTTGGGCATAGCCTTAGCTGTGATGTAAATTAAATAATAGAGATTTTAATTTGCAGAAAGTAAGCTGCAAACAGTGTGGTGTTGTGCAAAGAACAAAGAAATTGGAAGGGCAAGGGTTACTAGATGTGAGTTCAGGAAGGAGGGAAAAGGGGTTATTTGTTATTTGCTCAGAAATAGCAAATACAGTGATGAGTACTATACCCATACTATCTCCTACTCTCTGGCATAGGAAAATCATTGCCCCTCCACATCTTTGCAAGTCTACAACCACACAGAACTTCACTCCCCAATCGTAAAGGAAAGATGATTATCACAACTATCTGAACTCCAAGGTTGCTGTGAGGATCAACATGCTCTGTAAACAGTAGAGCTGTAAACACATATTCAAAATTCTTGTAGATATCTTTTCCATCTCCAGAATTTTTGAGTCAGTTAATTATTATTATGTTAAGCAAAATTTGGAGAGCACATTTACAAACAGAGGGCAGTTTGCCAAAAGGAAAAATAGAGGACTTTGAAACTATGGAAGCCTATCATTGCCTACAAGGGCTCTCACTCTAACTTTGGAAACAAAATCGTAAGGCAGGATGAGGCAGTTGGAGGAAAAGGAACACTGCTAACCTGAGGATATATTTATTGTTTTCCAGAGTTAGTATAAGCCAAGCAAGGATACTGAGAATGGACGAGGTGGATAAAGAGGACATGTGTTAAGTGCCTTAAAGTATTTGCAGTGAATCAAAATAGTAAAGTTGTGGAGTATCTTTGTGAAACTCCATGATATTATTATTGAGATATTTTAATAACAGTGCGTAACTCTTTATGACGGCACATGGTGGACTGTATCCAAAAGATAAATTATGGTTTAACGTATTTGGCTGTTACTATTACTATTACTGTTACTACTACTATTACTATCACTGTTATCTTTGAAAGATAGAGGAGGCATATCTTTAATGAAATGCTAGAGAAAGCATTCTGAGTATTCTACCCTGGGCCTCTCCAAGAAATAGTTGGATGAATTTAAAATAATAATAATATATATTAGATTCCATTATAAAGATGTTATACCCTTTAAGCCTCAGTTTCTTCACCTATCAAATGAGCATATTAGAGTAGCTACTAAAAGTCATTTTCAACTCAAAAACTGTTCTATGGAAGCATTTTTCCCTTTTCCATGTTGAAGCTATGTAGTGTCTTAAAAAATAGCCCTCCCGTACCCTTTTCATGGCCTAAAGATTAATTAGGATGGTAGCAAGCTGGTATTTGTACGCAAACTTGACAATTATGCAAGTATAATAGATGGCCCGGTAGCTGCTATACTGAGATGAGCATTAAATCTCCTTTACTAATCTGGAAATCACCTCAAATTAGCATCTATTGAGATCTTCTTCCTCCCCACCTCCCCCCATCAAATTCAGGAAAACATTTGTTTTCTTCCTGTTACTTTTTCCCATGTTCTGGCATCACCTCCTCTGTTTACATTAACATTGGATAGCCTTTGGCATTGTGGCCAAAGGAAAAATGCCATCATGTTCTACTGCTAACTCCCTGGGTGTCTAACTAGACATCACATCATCAGAAGGAGCCTGGAGAAATTCACTGAGCTCTGAGCAGGACCTGTGTGTAGTTGATACACAGGGAAGCTTTCCTAAGTACTCATCACATAGCTATAATTAGGGCGCTTTTACCTGTGACAGCACTGACAGGATATACCTAGTATTCACCTGCTTTATTTAGTTTCCTGTACCAACGAGTGACACCGAAGTAGCTAAATGCCCATAACCAGGTCCACAAGGAATAGTTAAGTGGACTGAAGACACATCAAGTGTTTCTCTAGATCGACTGGAGCCACATGTTTTAAATTATTCTTTGGGGGCATCCTTACTGAGGAGAGAAGTGGGGACTCATTTTTTTTAGCATGCTTCCCCCTTCAGATTCACCAACAGCTTCCTCTGCCTCCTCCAGGACCATCTTCAGAGACTGCTAATTAAGTAATAACAATCCAGTCATAAAATTTAACTTACATAAGTGTTTTTCTAAAACTCAGTTTACAAACCTTCCTGATCAATTTAATTGGTTTGCAGTGAATACCACAATGCCATATTACCCAGGAATTTTACACCTGAAAAATAGAGGGGGAGGGAGTGAAACATCAAACCTATTTTATGACAAAAGCAATAGCTGTGAAAGAACAAAGAAGCAGTGAAATCCAGTCATGACTCATAAGTTGGTCGCCTTTTCTTCATAGGTCCCTAAATTGCTGGCCTAGAAAACTGGTAATATTGTCTTTTAAGCCATTAACAACAGCAACCACTAGCACCACCAAGGAAAAAATTCCATCTACTCATCAGCATTCTAACTCAGCATGTTGCCTGTGACAAGTGACACCCTGACAAGCTGGTCCTCTGGAGCTTGTCTTTCCAGAAAGCTGTTATTCCTGGTAGAGTTACAGGACTCGGGGAGACTATGTATGGTTAAGTCTTCTAGGCATGCCTGTATGTCCATTGCCTGGCATTGGTAGACATATGTTGATAAAATAACCAAACCCACTGGCATACACGAAGTGACAACACTGGGGGCCTGGCATGACTGTATTTCTCAGACACAAGTGGGTACATTACTGATCTCTGTAGTACACAAAATGTGTGCCTTGACTAAGGTTGAAGAGTTTATCCACTGTACTTGGGTGTCGTTGATTTCCAATTTAAAATTTAGGCTGGGCCTGATTTAAGAATGTGTGTGCTTCGTATGAAAAGTTTCCCTGGATGAGGTCGACAACAAACTGAAATCAATGCTGCAATGCTACATTATATTCGAGTTTGAAATTGGGAGGTTGCGTATCCCCTTCCAGCCTTTCCTCTTGGTTTAGAACTTAGAAGATACCTCAAAAATAACAAATCTGGCTTGGTTTAGAAGCAGCACTTCTAATGGATAGCAGAAAAGCAAACAAAACACCTTTTCCTCTTTGAAATGAATCATTTTGTTTTTCCTATAGACTGCATGTGGTGTTTGAGGCAGAGCGAGCAAGGCTGCCAATATTGCCAGCAAATGCTTCGGCACCTTTCATTTTTCACTCTGAGCAGGAACCCTCTTCTTAAACTTGTTCATTTTACAGAGGGAAAATCGAAGCCACTGGCATATTGTCAGGGCTGCTTTATTGTCATTACTTACAAAGGTCATTGGAATTAATTGACTTCTTACGCTGCATATTGTAAACTGACTCATTTTTGACACATTTATGGGAAAGTGGCAGGATCTAAGTGGCTGGTGATTGTCTTTTGGTTTGGGCTTATATTATAAACTCAGAAACCAGTAACAACACTGAAATCACGGTTGTGGGGGGAAAACATGACACACAGTTTGAAAGAAACAGACTCCATTAGCTGTTTGGTGAGTTCAGCTAGAGGAAGAGGGGAGAGAGTTCTAGAAGACAAAATGCAAACAACTAGCTTTGTTTTAATGCCTTCCTAGGACCCAGTAAAGGGGGTAGCAGATGCCTCTTTGAGCATCCTCTGTTTGGTGGTGCCCAAGTAGCTGGCTTCCTTTTACAAGACTGCAAGTAAAAATTAACCAACACTGTACCCCGTGAATCATCACTCCCAGGACACTCTTCGAGTTTCCTGAGAGTAATTCTGTCTCAAAGGCACTGCTTCTGAAGCTGCAGATGAAAAAACACAGGAGCTGAGTAGTATTTATAGTACCAGGGCACACTATTTTCTAGGTAGGTATTTTGAATCTTTACTTTGTCCCTTTTGATTTTTCCCTTTTCCACTGAATTCGGAAGGCTCTACTCATATTCATAGCCTGCTTTCACTAAAATTAGAGGCTCGGAAACAAGGACATATTGTTAAAAATGAATAAATTAGAGCTGCAATAAGCCATCCAGCTCAACCACAGCGAAGGGAATATAGCGGTTGGTTTGAACAAACAATCTTCTTAAATAGGAAATGTGCTTTAAAGCCATCCTGCTGTGATCCTGTTAATTACCAAAGAAGATTAGAACTCTTCTGGTTCATGGGATCCTTTTACCTAGAGTGTGGCAGCTCCAGCTGCATTAGCAATCACAAATTTGCACTGTTCCTTCAGACCAGCGAGGAGATGTTATTAAAGGGAAGTCGTTTACCCCAGTCCGTAAGATGTAGCCTGGCAGAAATTCAATAACTGTTTGTGATATGCTCATTCCACCACTCTGCTTAGGGCTTTTAGCTCTTGACATGCAGCAACATTTGCCTTCATCTCCATCCATTGGATGAAAGGGAACAAAAATGCCCCACTTAGGGGGTTGCTTCCAAAACACAGAACGGTGTGTGATCTGCTTTTCATTACAAATGATGTGAAGAAAAATGAAAATCCCCCGCCACACATTCTCTCTCTGCTCTCTTTTCCTGTCCGACTCTCCTTAATGTCTCCTCCCCACCCCCCCCAACCTCCAGCTTTCTCTCTCTCACTGTCCCCTTCTCTTCTCTCTCCCTCCTCTTTCTCCTCCTCCCAACACTGCCTTTTCTCTCCCACTCACATCCTCTGATAGGCATTCAAGCTAGTAAAATGCATGTTGGAGAATCCCACTAACACAGCTAGGCACACACAGAGCCACAGGGGTTTTGCATGCGAATTTCCTCTCAAAAGTAAAATGTAAAGGAAAAAAAAAAGCTTTTAGAATGCAGACAAGGAGAAAACCTCAAAGGAGAATTTAGACGTAAAAACATCAGCATCAGCAAAACAAGAAATAGAGCACGTTGAATAGATATTGGTATTTTCAACTTACCTTGCAAAAGCAGTTTCAGCGCCAGACCACCTCCAGTGTCCCTGTGTGCTGGCTTCCTCAGTTCCTTGGTTGACATAATCACATGGTGGTATTCTTGTCCAGGTATCAGTAGGTGCACATCTCTGTGTGTGTGTGTAATAAAGTGCACACAGATATGTGCTACAGATAGACACACATACAAGCAACCTTAGCTCTGGATTCTAAAATATAAAAGCAGGCAGGCGGCTGCAGCTAGAATTCTCTCTTCTGCCTGGAACTCCTTTCAGTCGGCAGGCTGAGGCTCTCAATCCAGCGAAGAGAGATCCTGTGAGCTGGTTTTATTTCCCCCTGTTTCCATGGTGGTTAGTGGTGCATCGTTCACCCGATCAGCTGTCACACTGACATGGTGCTGCCTGCTCAGCGGTCATTAATAACTGAACACCCTCCACTCCCCAGAGAGGAGCCAATCGCTTCAGACTGCCAGGATGTAGCACTCGCAGCTGCTCCAGTCTGGTTGGCTGAAACAACCTGTCTGTTCGATGACACTGCTGCTTAGGATACAAATAAATGAAACGGGCTTGCATATTTTCCGAGGAATCATTTTCCTTCCTTCCCTTTCCTCCTCCTCCTTCTTCTTTTTCTTCAGGGGGACATTGGGAATTTTTGCCAAGTTTTCCCATTTTTAAGTTAACCGTCGTACAGACTAACTGTGCTTTCACTCTGGAAACAGGCAAGGCACACTACTAATGCGGATTTCCCAAACATTAGAAACACCTGATAGAGACTCAAGCCTGGTAGTCCCTCTGTGCAAAGTTCAGGGATGGTTGCATCGTTTAATAAGAGCAGCTTGAAACTGTTTTGAGTGGCATTTGGTTCTCTATAGATCCCACTTAATTTAGCATATGTGCTTGCTGTTCAATAGCACTTTTTTTTTTTATAGCAATGACATTTCTTATCTGGACCAGAATTTTAAAAATAAAGTATATGTTTGCCTGTTTATAACACTGGCATTTGAAGATGTAGTTTTTAAAAAGGTGTGTTTCTAATTATATTCACTCACTGCTTCTTATGTGATGTGATACATCTGCCAGACACCTCCAAATGGGTGCAAGTAGAGGATGGTTTGTATGTGTATCTGTGTGTTTTGGATGTATGTTTTATACTCTAAAGAGATATTTCAACTATTATAAATTAATTCCTCCTCAAAAAGGACTCCTCCTTATTTTTAGACCCATTAATTTTGAATGTGTGTTGAAGAGGAAAATATACTCTGTAAGCCATATATGTAAAACACTTTATGAATTTCCAGAAATTTAGAAAATTTAGAAGCATAGCAGTGTGTTTCTTTCAATCTCAAGATAAACACAGAAAGCAGTTTTTAAAAATGCATGTTTCAGAATCTTAATTAGTGTACTAGAGAAACATCTTGTTGAGAAGAATGTTACATGAGGATTAATTTATCAACAGGTCAAAAGCAGGCTGGATTCATGACTCCAGCCCTAGTTTAGAGATACTACCCTCTAGTGGATTAAAAAGAAATGACATCAGATTTACTTCCAAAAAACCTTAAAAAAAATCAAAAAAAAAAAACAAAAACAAAAACAAAAACAAACAAAAAAAAACAAAAAAACAGCTTCGTATCTAATTGCTCAAATGTTTATTGCAATCACATGGACCCATTGTTTGCAGTTGTTATCTCATAATACCAGAGAATTTTAAAAGCTCTAGCTTTGTTTTTAACCACCAAATGGAGATAGCATTGCAGCACAGCTGGAAAAGCCAGTGCTTAGGGCTCCCATATTGTAGTGCCTAGCCGAGTCCTGTCCACTCTGCTTCTGATCCATCTTCTTCTTAATGCTGTACTGGGAGGCAGCAGATGATGGCTCAAGTGATTTGTCCGCTGCCACCCACATGGGAGATCCCAGTGGATTCTTGGCTCCTTGCTTTGGCCTGGCCTAGCTCTGGTTTTATGGGCTTTCTGGGGAGTAAAACAACAATTGGAAGAACTCTCTCTCTTTCTGTTGCTCTTTCATTCAAATAAATAAATAAGTTTAAAAAATTAACCACCAATAGTTTCAGTCTGTAATTTTCTGTAAAAAATTTCAAAATGCTTTTTTCTATAAAAATTTATTCAAATTATTTGAATTAAATGTTTGATTAAAATAAATTCAAGACAAAACTAGCTTCTCAAATAACTGATTGACCCTCATTTCACAATGTTATTATGTTTTATTCTTTTTTTTAAAGTATTTATTTATTTGAAAGACAAAGTTAGTTACACAGAGAGAAGAAGAGACACAGAGAGAAGTCTTCCATCTGCTGGTTCACTCCCCAAATGGCCATAATGACGGGGGTTGGGCTAGGCCAAAGCCAGGAGCCAGGAGCTTCATCTGGGTCTCCCACTTGTGTACAGGGGCCCAAGCACTCAGGCCATTTTCCACTGCTTTCCCAAGCACATTAGAAGAGAGCTAGATTAGAAGTGGAACAGCCAGGGCTTGCACCCGTGCCCATATGGGATGCTGGAACTACAGGCAGCAGCTTCACCTGTTGTGCCACAGCAACAACTCCTAATGTTTTATTCTTTATGCTTTCGTGTTTACACAGAAAGAATATCATCAACCTATTGTTAAGGATTATGCTTGAGTGCTGGGAATGTTGTGTTGGAATCTATGTATAACTTTATGTATTTCTATAATGGTAATAATTATTATTCTTACCTCTTAATTTTACTCTCTTCATCTCTAATTTCTAATATATCTTGAATCATTTCAATACTTGTAGGATTTATTTCCTTAATATGGAAGAATTATTTTAAAATGGTGAAAAGTATTTGAAAAAGGAATTTTAATTTTATCTCATGGTTCCTTAAGTATTTCATTTTAGTTGATTGGTATTGATTGCATAGCTGACAAATGCAGTAATCAAGCCAATTTGTATAATGCACTCTCACAATGAAGGTACATTGTGATAGTCAAACAGATACATGATTAAGCTACTTTTTTGGCTTTTACATGAAAGTAACAATCATGTCTTGTATTTGAAGTTTCACTGTCTTACTCTAAGAAAAATCTTTTAAGTTTAACTTTAGTTAGATAGGCATACTATTGTAAAAACTGCCCTGTATTATTTCTCAGGAAGTTGTTTTCATTAAACGATCACTTTTTTTTTTTTTTTTTTGGAGGATGGGGAATGAGATTGTTGTTTCTACAGTTGTCTTTTTAATATATGTCCATGCCAAACTCAAAACATTTACTACTTATTTTTTTTTAAACTTTTATTTAATGCATATAAATTTCCAAAGTACGACTTATGGATTACAATGGCTTCCCCCCCATACCGTCCCTCCCACCCACAACCCTCCCCTTTCCCACTCCCTCTCCCCTTCCATTCACATCAAGATTCATTTTCGATTATCTTAATATACAGAAGATCAGCTTAGTATACATTAAGTATGGATTTCAACAGTTTGCTCCCACACAGAAACATAAAGTGAAAAATAATAGATGATTTTTTTAAATGATGATGAAATCAGAGCAGACCTATTGTCATGTTTAATCCCAGTGAGAGTCAAGTTGGGAATTGATAATTTCTTTTTTTTTTTTTTTTTTTTTTTACAGAGGATCAGTTTAGTATGCATTAAGTAAGGATTTCAACAGTTTGCACCCCCATAGAAACACAAAGTGAAATATATTGTTTGAGTACTCGTTATAGCATTAAATCTCAATGTACAGCACATTAAGGATAGAGATCCTACATGAGGAGTAAGTGCACAGTGACTCCTGTTGTTGACTTTACCAATTGACACTCCTGTCTATGGCATCAGTAATCTCCCTATGCTCCAGTCATGAGTTTCCAAGGCTATGGAAGCCCTCTGAGTTCTCCGACTCTTATCTTGTTTAGACAAGGTCATAGTCAAAGTGGAGGTTCTCTCCTCCCTTCAGAGAAAGGTACCTCCTTCTTTGATGACCTGTTCTTTCCACTGGGATCTCACTCGCAGAGATCTTTTGCCAGAGTGTCTTGGCTTTCCATGCCTGAAATACTCTCATGAGCTTTTCAGCCAGCTCCGAATGCCTTTAGGGCTGATTCTGAGGCCAGAGTGCTATTTAGGACATCTGCCATTCTATGAGTCTGCTGAGTATCTCACTTCCCATGTTGGATCACTCTCCCCTTTATTTACTCCATCAGTTAGCGTTAGCAGGTACTAGACTTGTCTATGTGCTCCCTTTGACTCCCAGTCTCTTCACCATGACCAACTGTGAACTGAAACTGATCACCTGGAACAGTGAGATGGCATTGGTACATGCCACCTCGATGGGATTGAATTGGAATCCCCTGGTATGCTTCCAACTCCACCACTTGGGGCAAGTCAGCCTGAGCATGTCCCAAATTATACATCTCTTCCCTCTCCCATTCCCACCACCATGTTCAACAGGGATCACATTTCAGTTAATTTTCAACACTTAAGAATAACTGTGCATCAATTACAGATCTAAACCAGTCATATTAAGTAGAACAGATAAAAAAACTACTAAGAGGGATAATGTATTAAGTTGTTCATTAACAGTCAGGGCTATGCTGATCAAGCCACCATTTTCCATAGTGTCCACCTCACTCCAACAGGTTTCCCTCTTGGTGTTCAGTCAGTCGTCACCGATCAGGGAGAACATACGGTATTTGTCCCTTTGGGACTGGCTTATTTCACTCAGCATGATGTGTTCCAGATTCCTCCATTTTGTTGCAAATGACTGGATTTCGTTGTTTCTTACTGCGGTATAGTATTCTAAAGAGTACATATCCCATAATTTCTTTATCCAGTCTATCGTTGATGGGCATTTAGGTTGGTTCCAGGTCTTAGCTATTGTGAATTGAGCTGCAAAAACATTTACTACTTATTTTTATAAATTTAATAGTATAGCATTACAAATGGGACTACAGCGTGGGAGAGATAGCAACACAGGCTTTGGATGAGAAGGATGAGATTCTGTCCTTTGGCTATCAGTTCCATCCCGCTTCAAGGGCATTGGCTGCTTAGTACAATCAGTGTGTGCATTTCAGGTGCTTTTGTCGTGTATCAAGGAGGTCCGTGATCTGCTGGAATATGAAAGGTGGCTTTCCCAAAAGATGTGTGGAAAGTTATTTTAGCAGTCACATCTATTTTGTGAAGCACCATATGCAGACATTCAGTTGTAGTGTGGTAAGGATTCATTGCTTCTGAATTAGTACAGTGAATGGTCATTAAGTGAGAACATGGGATTTGGAACTCTTATGTTCTAGGTCAAGAAAGTAGTTTAAGTGTAGAAAGATGTTGTAAGACAGCCTGGAATAGAGCCCCCTCCCATCTTCCACAATTTCTCCACTATATAACCTTATCATCTACTGGAGAGTAGACAGGTTCTTGGCTTTTTATTTTTCTTTTTTCTCGCTCCCTCCTCCCTTTATTTTTTTCTTTTTCTCAATTTTTTTTTCTTGAAAAGTCTACTAAAACTTCAGAGAAATTTCACTTTGCAAATCAAACCCACCATACTGCATGAATGTGCATCTTAACTGCATTGTAGTAAAAGGCTGTAGGGTTTCCCAAATAAGTACTCAGTTTTAATGAAAATGCATTGAAAATTTTTTTTCATTTGTCAGGTAGAGTTATAGGCAGTGAGAGAGTGAGACAGAGAGAAAGGCCTTCCTTCCTTTGGTTCACTCCCCAAATGGCCACTATGGGCGGCGCTGCACCCATCCAAAGCCAGGAGCCAGGTGCTTCTTCCTGGTC